TATCTCTATAAATTTAACATGTTTATATTAATCAAATCTAAAGAGTTTGAAAAGTTTGAATAGTATTTTTTGGAGAATATATGACTAAAAAGTTAAAAATAAAAATATATTAATTTGTGTGTAGAATATTTTATTGTATGAATATGTGACGAAGAATGATATTGAGTCTGTTTGGGAGTGATTTTGAGAATTGATTTTTTGATCATTAGGAGAAAAGTGGGGTCCACCTGTAAAAGAAGAAGTCAAATATGATGGTTAGAATAGTGAAATAGTGGTCAAAAAATCAATTTTTTTGGGTGAGAAAATCGCTCCCAAATAGGGCCATTGTAACAAACAATTTAAAATTTTAAATAAACAGACACTTAATCCACAATTCGATTCCAAAATGCCACGTGGAAGCAGAAAATTGAAGGGACTATTAGAACCACAGGTGATTCTTCCTCTAATCTCTTTGGAATTGCAATGCCAAGAAGCTCAATTAATCTTTCAACTCTGGATAGAGCTACAGTTGATTCAGTGTTAATTAAACTATGTCGACCATGGCTTCTCTGTGTTGCTCATCACCAGCATTGCACAGAAATGGAAACATTAGAATTACAGCCATGGCTAAGCAAACCCCATTAGCTTTCTGCTCTTTACTGAAGATCAGTCAGAAGAATAACAGGATTTATGACATTTTTCATCCATTGTTGAGCAACAGTAGTAATTCAACCAGTTTGATTGCTAAAGCTTCTGAAACGGAAACTGAGACCTCGAATTCAGAAGAGGAAAAATATGAAGAGTATGAGGTTGAAATTGTGCAGCCGTACGGATTGAAATTTGCCAAGGGCAGAGATGGTGGGACTTACATTGATGCCATTGCACCTGGTGGTTCAGCTGATCAAACTGGGAAGTTCACTGTTGGGGATAAAGTGCTTGCCACAAGGTAATTCATGATTCATTTCTGCAAATTTATCACCCCCACCCCCCACCCCCTTTATAGATCTAATGAATGTTGTAATAGTATCTGCTTCAGAAATCAAATTAAATGTGATAATTTAGGCAATGAAACCAAGAAAATGAATTCAGTGCAGTTTTTGGGGAGGAAATATGGCCTGCAGCTGAATACGGACGAACCATGTACACCATTCGACAAAGAATTGGTCCGCTACTCATGAAAATGCAGAAGAGATACGGTAATTAACTTATCAGAGTTAAGATTTTTCGAGTCTGACTGAAGCATGCTGTCGCTTGCGTTGACAATTAATTGCAATTCTTTAATTGGAAGAAAGCTTCTGGAACAGAAATTATATTTTGCTTTAATTAGCTTCAAATGTGGATGAGAAATTGTTCATTTACCTCTCTGATAGACACTACTTAGTAGCAGTATTGTTTTTATTCGAATTTGTCGTTCACATTTCCTGTAAATGTAAATTTTGGTAAAATGAAGGCTTGCATAACGTTTTACCCTTAGTAGCATCGTTTTCGCCTATCAGGAAAGGTGGATACTGGTGGCGAGTTGACTGAAAAGGAAATTATCAGAAATGAGAGGAACTCTGGTTTTATCAGTAACAAAGTTAGAGAAATTCAAGTGAGTCATCGCGATTTTGATTAATTTTTCTTTTACTATTGAATATTTTAACTCATCCAGATTGTAATATTAAACCAGTAACTTATTGCAGATGCAAAATTACCTTAGGAAAAAAGAGCAGAAAGAGCAGAGAGAGAGAGACCTTCGAGAAGGATTGCAGCTTTACAAGTAAAGCCCCACATTTCATCTTAATTGCATTGCTCAACTCTTCTCCTGTCCTATTCTAGTTGAATATCTTGTACAATTTTACTACCTACGCTACGACCCCTCTTCTCTTTGTTTCCCAATTTCAACACATTGTTGACTTGATTCAGTCAAGTGATATGGTCGAGCATGGGGGTGAGAAACCTCTTTTTCGAAACTATTATATTGTGAAATTAACCTTTAATAGTTTAAGTGCTTGAATTCTGGGTTACACTTACATTCAGACTTTGTTGGGATTCCAAAACTAACTTGGCCTGTGATAATTGTTAATGATGTAGTTGCTTTAGATCCCCAAGTAGATCTAGCTGGGAGATCTAAAGTAACAAAAATAATAGGCAAAGTTTTATTGGAAATGAGGCTTAAGACTTAGTTTGTTGTCGTTTTGCGTTCATCCAAGAATAGTCTCTAAAAGCCACAAACTCTTACTCTGTTGGACATTGTCATTTGTTGATGCCAAATTGAGTTCAGCCTCTGAATTTATACATGAGATTTGAATGTATCTCAGATGCCTTAACAAACTTGGTTAAATTGTTTTTTCTTGTGATAATTGGGTGAAGGAATGGCAAGTACGAAGAGGCACTGGAGAAATTTGAGTCAGTTTTGGGATCAAAACCAGAGCCAAATGAATCAGCTGTGGCGTGTTACAATGTAGCATGCTGTTATTCGAAGCTTAATCAGGTAAACAATAGTTCAAACCAATTATGAATTGGGTCATTTACTGGTTCTTTACTCTTGCATCTGTATGGTTTTCCACCCCCCCCCCCCCCCCCCCCCCTTTTTGTTTGGTTTTTTTTTCTTTTCATTTNNNNGAGGTTGGCTTAGCTTCCAATTGAATTAGCACTCAGCAACATATATACCAAGGACAACAAAATTTCCATCTAACTAAGAATGGTGCATGACATGCCATTTCGCTGTTATTGTAGTTAAACATATTTTCACTAGGCTTGTGGGTGTGCATATATTGAGCAATTATCTGCCTTTTTTCACGTTTTCTTCTGACAATCCATCGCCTTCTTTTGTACTTATCCCAGATTCAAGCTAGTTTGTCTGCCCTAGAGGATGCTCTGGAAGGTGGATTTGAAGATTTTAAGGTAAGTTATGAAATATTACATTCATCCCATATTATGTTTAGCCTAGTTATCAAACTTCTTCTGATGCTATTTTGACAGAGAATCAGGACAGATCCTGACCTTGCCAACATAAGGGCAGCTGAGGATTTCGAACCTCTTATGAAGAAGTTTGATGAATCGTTTATCAATGAAAATGCTATCAATGCTATCAAATCAATATTCGGCATATTTAACAAGCAATAAAACCAGCAGTCTACACCAATACATTGGGGACGAGTGGGCTTAGTTTCCTAATGAGCTTCCAACAGAATTCAGATGTTTGAGTGCCGATCTCCTACTGGACCTGGCATAAGGAGGTCCTCATTGCTTGGCTTCGCTATCGCTCCTATGGTATTTTGCGTATTAGGAATACTAGCTCAAGATCATTCTTGAATGACACTACATATGATCTTGGTTAGTGATTGGTTGTTTCAATTGTTTTATAATTTAGTCAATCATACGTGTAATTACGTTTCACTTGAGGACTAAAAGAAGGTAGTGAGTTGTCAATTTTAACCATAATCATCTTGAAAAGAATAAAAGTTTGAATTTTAATTCTTGATTCCAATTCTTATTCATGAATATCAGTACACAACCAAAATTTAGTTTTGGGAAATTCAGTGGCAATTTACAGTTGACAAGCTTTTGCATGCTAAAATTATATTTTAACTAGGAGGAAGATTACCTATGGTGTATCAACACACTTGAATTTCTTAATCTTGACAGAAGTCCAAGTGGACCTAGCTAGTGCTGTTACCTAATACACGGGATTGACCATGTATTTCTCAATATTAACTCTCCAATTTTCTTCAACTAATGCAATGAAGCATCAACATAAGAAGCCATAACATCCTAGGGCTTATGAGGATGAAGATGAACTGGAAGTCCTTCGACTGGGGTGGGCATAAGATGCATTCTACTTTCTTATCAGGAATCAGTAAATCCCATCGAAATTTCTTAACTATGTTTTGCAGAAATTAAAGAATATCGAGCCTAGCAAACTCTTTACCCTAGCACATCGGAGATCCCCCTTCAATTGGAACATAAGAAAATGGAGTAGGTCCTGCCCTTTCATAGCTCGATGGATCAAATTTTATGTTCTCTTCAAACAAGCTAGAAAGTGAATTTGTGAAGAAGGCCTTCCTGTATAACTGTTGCAACAGCATAATTAGGTCATGAATCATTAGTTCAAAAGTGAATCAAAAGGGCCCCTTTGACAAGGCTTCTGCTTTTATTTATTGTAGAAAAGCTTCCTTAGAAAACTACCCTAAGCTAGCTTCCTCTAAAAGCTCATCTAGACAAACAAAGCACTTCCAAGAAATTGTCCTAATATGTTCAAAAGCATTTTCTTAGTCTGAAAAATAGCTTTTGATTTTTCAAAAGCACCACCAAACGGGCCCTAAATTACTGTTACAGAAATTCTTGAAATTCTTTTTTACTTGTGAAAAAAGGGGGGAAGAAAATTCCAGAAGTCTTGGAAAATCTCATAAAAGAAGTAAGAATAAATAAGAGAAAAATTTAAGTACCTTCCATCCCGTGGGAATGTCATAAACTGCTTACTTAAAATCGACTTGTGCATCTCTAAAAGCACCTATTGTGGGTGGTGATAGTCTAATAGTTTCAGACAATACATTCTACTAGTACCTCATCTTCTGTACATCATCCCACTGTGAAAATTCCCCTGCTTCGTAGGATGATTTGAAACATAAATCATTAGGTGTAGTTATGTCAACAAGGTGAAACGAAGGGTATGTACTTTTACCTCTAAATACATTTTCACAAGTTCAAGGAAGTTGTCCAAGATTCTTCATCAGCATAGTTATGGCAACACTAGAAGTGTCGTGACCAGCAACCTGATTCAGACATAAACTTGCCATTTTCATCAGGATGTTGTGAAGCTGAAACAATTTCCTGTTCCAAGGTTACTCTTCTGTTTCTGACTATTGATTGTACTTGTTTCTTTATAGCAATAGTCGCGCTCTTTGCATTAAGAATCTTGTTCCTGGGAAGTTAATAGGGACTGAGATTATTCCATTCAAGAAAACAATAAACATCAAGTTTGGCAATTTGGTGAGGGTCTTCAAGGCTTATAAGAAACGACATGCTACTTCAGTCGTATAGATTGATGGTTGGGAACACCTTCATCTCTTCTTTACCTTCATGTACAACCTTCATGTACACCAAAACATGTTTTGTAATGGTCTTAAAAAACTTAAATGTATAAAATAAAAGGAATTTAAGAAGACCAAACAATCTTATACACCTTGTAAATGCATCAGGAATGATGAAACAAGATAGCATCTTCTCATTTGCTTCCCTTCATCACCACTAATGGTGGCAAGACAGTGTCCAAGAAGCATCCTAACAGAGGTAGGCCACCAAATTGTGACCAGTTTATTTTATTAATAAACAGAAACTTGTTCCCGTCAGGGCCATATAAAACTGCAACAGGCTCTCCCATAGTTCTTGGCGAACAGGATTGACATATATGATGTATGGCATCCAAAATTTGGCCCTCTGCTACCACAACTGTTTACAAGATAAAATCATACTGAGGTGCATAGCCAATCAGCTTAAGTTGCAGGTCTAAAACATCCAGTAGAGAGTAAATTTCTCCTGATGCTGGATGATAATTATCACATGCAGAAAACTGGTGCGTCTTTTTGTCCACTTCAATCCAGCTCGAACCAGGACTTTTCTTTTCTACTCCATGTTCCTTCATGATTGTCCTCATTCTTGCAACTTCATGCCATCGATTTTCTTCAGCATACATGTTAACTAAAAGGGAATAATATCCACTACTATTTGACTCCAAGACCACCAATCTATCAACAGCAAGTTGAGCAATCTCCAAGTTCTTGTGAAGCTTACAACCGCCTAATAAAGCACCCCAAACGACAGAATTGGGATCCATTCTCATACCTCGTATCAACTCTAGTGCTTCTTCCAGCAAACCGGCTTTGCACAAGAGATCGATCATGCATCCGTAGTGTTCAATTTCAGGAAGGATTCCATACTTGTGTGTCATGTTAAAGAATCTCCTCCGGCCTTCTTCCACAAGTCCTGCATGAGTACAAGCACTGAGAATACTAACAAAGGTCACGCCATTTGGTTTGATCTTTTCCTTCTCCATTCGACCAAACATCACTAATGCTTCTTTAGCATGCCCATGAACTGCAAGCCCATCAATCACAGAATTCCAACAGAAGAGATTTTTCTCCTGTAACTTGAAAAATACCACAAGTGCCCTCTCCAAGACCCCACACTTCGCATACATATCAATCAATGCAGACCCCATATAAACATCGAGATCAAACCCGCTTTGCATAGCATATATGTGTATTTCCTTCCCTTGGTTCAGTGCCCCAAGATGTGCACAGGCTGATATTACAGTTGACAGGGTCACTTCATCAGGTCTAACTTCTTCATTCTTCATTTCATAGAAAAGTTCTAAGGCTTTGCTATATTGCTTGCTTTTTGTGTAACAATTGATCATTGTTGTCCACGAAATCAAATCCTTCCCGAGCATCATATAAAACAACTCCTCAGCTGAGTTAACATCGCCAACTCTCGCATATCCATGAATCATGGTATTCCTTGCAGCAGTATTTTTCTCCGGCATCTCATCAAACAACCTCCTCGCTGAAGCCAAATCCCCAATGCTGGCATGAGCTTCAATCATTGTAGACCAAGCAAAACCATCTCTTTCTGGCATTTCATCGAACACCATCCTTGACTCATCAACCCTACCAAAACTCGAATAAAAATCAATCAGTGCAGTTAAGACATGAACGTGCGATGGGAACCCGTATTTCCAGACCTGCCCATGAACACATTCCCCAAATCCCACAGCAGATAAAACTCTACAGCTCTTAGTTACTGCCGGGAACGTATAACTACTTGGATATACAGAATTCCTCAGCATGTCAATGTAGTACTGTAAAGCTTCAAATGGGCGAAAACAATTTACAAAGGCTCCAACTATTGCATTGTACACGAATATATTGGGATTTTCCATCTGAGAAAAGGCAAAAATTGCCGAATCTATACTGTGAAAAGTGGAACAAGCAGTTATGTATTGGTTTACCAAGAAGCAATTTTGAGTTGTGTCGTTCTTGATCATCATTGCATAAAATGATTCAATCTCTTTCAAATTTGAACATCTTTTCAAACGATCGGCCACCTGTGCAACTGTTAATCTTGGGCCTACAAACACACTTGTAATCAGTAAATGATGAATAACTACACCTTTAAGGCTTTAACTTGTTCACAAAGAAAAATCATTGAACATTTGTAATGATGATTGAGAACAAAGATTGATGGTATCTAAGTAGGAGAGAAGTTAGACTTACGATTAACAACGAAGAATTTCATACGAATTGTTTCCAGTATATGGTACAATCACAAATCTTCTCGGTGAAAAATGGAAAATACACTCAAAAATAAATTGTACAAGGTGAATAAGGGGGAGATTCAGGGAAGTTTCGACTGAGAAGGTCCCACGCGAATCCCACTTCCATTCCATGCGAGTGTAGGTCAACCAGGTGACAAATTCTTTCTGACAGGAGCCTAATTCAATTTGCGAACATGATATCTTCAAATAGTCGCTACTATTATTTGGGATATACATGAAAATGGCCCAAATAGTAAATAACCTTTTCCAAAATGGCCTTTGACTTTTTTAGAAATTTGAAACTATCCAAAATATCCTTGGAAAAATTTAACAACCAACCCTTTATATAATAAAAAGTTTCTTTTTTAGTCCTTAAAAAATCTAACAAATAAAATTTGTAAAAATTATTAATGAATAATTATAAAATGGAAAAGCCCAAATATAAGAGAGGACCATATAATATAAAAAAGGTTGTTAAAAATAAAAAAGAAATTAAATTTGAAAAAGAAATTGATAAGATAGGATATCAAGAACAATTATATGCATCACAAGAAATATTAAAATGTTTTAAAGAAAACTTATTAGAAAATTTCGCTAAAGGAATTGTAAGGTCAATAATCATAAAAGATATACAAGATATAATAGATAAATTGGAAAAAAGAAAGAAAAGTATCTCAAAATATGAAATACCTTTTGGAACAGACATAGATATGATAACAGATATTGATATTATAAATTCTCAAACATTATTAGACTTTGAAGAATTACTTAAAAATTTATGAGATTAAAATTTTGATATTTTGATTATTAGATTATTAGATTTTTATTCGCTCATAGTAGCACCCATAGAGTTTGTATCAGAGCCATAGAGATCATGGAAATCTTAAAAATAAATAATTATTATCAATGTATTGAAGAAAAAGGATGTTATATATTTTACAACCCTATCCCTAATAAACTAAAAATAATAACATTATATATAACTAGGAATTTATAAAAAAAGGCCAAACGAGGACTTAATTGAACTTATTAAAGTGTGATAACTTAAATTGGTGTTCTAGTACGGTCGGTACTTTATAACGTTGTTTTTATCACAAGTTAATTAACGAAGCACTTAATCAAAACACAAAAATTAGTTTCAATCAGTATACTCATTCTTCTATTTCTGCAAATTTAACATGTTTGCATTCATTTAATCTAAATAGGACATGTATTATTTCCATAGGGACTCATAGGAATATCGCACGAGGCGAAAAAGCCACATCCTCCATTTTGCAATACAAAAACCAATTTCGTATCAATTACTTAATGATTTCAGGATGAGGTCTTCATCTCAATTAGTATTTCACAACTGAATAACGTTGTACTTCTCCCGTAAAAAAAGTGGGTTTGAAATATATTTTTATACAAATATAAAATATGAATGGAATTAAGTGGTCGGGTAAGTGCAATAAATTGTTGACCCAAGAGTGTACATTTTAAATTGAAATGATAGTAATAAAGGATAAAGAATTTTTTTGAGGCGGTAGTGTGTGTATTTGGGGTTTTATAAGTGCAACAGTAATGCTATTCATCACAATTGATGTCAAGTATTGGTCTATATGATAATTGTATGTCGTTAAATGATATATTTAATTAAATGTAAATTTATATAAAATTCATTTAATTAAATTTATCAAGTGTGATCATTTAAATTGATGCTCTAACATGACTGGTGCTAAATAACGTTATTTTTATAACAAATTAACTAACAAGCACTTAACAAACAAAACACAAAAACCGTATCTCTATAAATTTAACATGTTTATATTAATCAAATCTAAAGAGTTTGAAAAGTTTGAATAGTATTTTTTGGAGAATATATGGTTAAAAAGTAAAAAATAAAAATATATTAATTTGTGTGTAGAATATTTTATTGTATGAATATGTGGTGAAGAATGATATTGAGTCTGTTTAGGAGTGATTTTGAGAATTGATTTTTTGACCGTTAGGAGAAAAGTGGGGTCCATCTGTGAAAAAAAAGTCAAATATGACGGTTAGAATAGTGAAATAAAGGTCAAAAAACAATTTTTTGAGTGAGAAAATCGCTCCCAGGGCCATTGTAACAAACAATTTTAAATTTTAAATAAGCAAACACTTAATCCACAATTCGATTCCAAAATGCCACGTGGAAGCAGAAAATTGAAGGGACTATTAGAACCACTGGTGATTCTTCCTCTAATCTCTTTGGAATTGCAATGCCAAGAAGCTCAATTAATCTTTCAACTCTGGATAGAGCTAAAGTTGATTCAGTGTTAATTAAACTATGTCGACCATGGCTTCTCTGTGTTGTTCATCACCAGCATTGCACGGAAATGGAAACATTAGAATTACAGCCATGGCTAAGCAAACTCCATTAGCTTTCTGCTCTTTACTGAAGATCAGTCAGAAGAATAACAGGATTTATGACATTTTTCATCCATTGTTGAGCACCAGTAGTAATTCAATCAGTTTGATTGCTAAAGCTTCTGAAACGGAAACTGAGACCTCGAATTCAGAAGAGGAAAAATATGAAGAGTATGAGGTTGAAATTGTGCAGCCGTACGGATTGAAATTTGCCAAGGGCAGAGATGGTGGGACTTACATTGATGCCATTGCACCTGGTGGTTCAGCTGATCAAACTGGGAAGTTCACTGTTGGGGATAAAGTGCTTGCCACAAGGTAATTCATGATTCATTTCTGCAAATTTATCACCCCCACCCCCCACCCCCTTTATAGATCTAATGAATGTTGTAATAGTATCTGCTTCAGAAATCAAATTAAATGTGATAATTTAGGCAATGAAACCAAGAAAATGAATTCAGTGCAGTTTTTGGGGAGGAAATATGGCCTGCAGCTGAATACGGACGAACCATGTACACCATTCGACAAAGAATTGGTCCGCTACTCATGAAAATGCAGAAGAGATACGGTAATTAATTTATCAGAGTTACGATTTTTCGAGTCTGACTGAAGCATGCTGTCGCTTGCGTTGACAATTAATTGCAATTCTTTAATTGGAAGGAAGCTTCTGGAATAGAAATTATAATTTGCTTTAATTAGCTTCAAATGTGGATGAGAAATTGTTCATTTACCTCTCTGATAGACACTACTTAGTAGCAGTATTGTTTTTATTCGAATTTGTCATTCACATTTCCTGTAAATGTAAATTTTGGTAAAATGAAGGCTTGCATAACGTTTTACCCTTAGTAGCATCGTTTTTGCCTATCAGGAAAGGTGGATACTGGTGGCGAGTTGACTGAAAAGGAAATTATCAGAAATGAAAGGAACTCTGGTTTTATCAGTAACAAAGTTAGAGAAATTCAAGTGAGTCATCGCAATTTTGATTAATTTTTCTTTTACTATTGAATATCTTAACTCATCCAGATTGTAATATTAAACCTGTAACTTATTGCAGATGCAAAATTACCTTAGGAAAAAAGAGCAGAAAGAGCAGAGAGAGAAAGACCTTCGAGAAGGATTGCAGCTTTACAAGTAAAGCCCCACATTTCATCTTAATTGCATTGCTCAACTCTTCTGCTGTCCTATTCTAGTTGAGTATCTTGTACAATTTTACTACTTACAATACGACCCCTCTTCCCTTTGTTTCCCAATTTCAACACATTGTTGACTTGATTCAGTCAAGTGATATGGTCAAGCATGGGGGTGGGAAACCTCTTTTTCGAAACTATTATATTGTGAAATTAACCTTTAATAGTTTAAGTGCTTGAATTCTGGCTGGGTTACACTTACATTCAGACTTTGTTGGGATTCCAAAACTAACTTGGCCTGTGATGATTGTTAATGATGTAGTTGCTTTAGATCCCCAAGTAGATCTAGCTGGGAGATCTAAAGTAACAAAAATAATAGGCAAAGTTTTATTGGAAATAAGGCTTAAGGCTTAGTTTGTTGTCATTTTGCATTCATCCAAGAATAGTCTCTAAAAGCCACAAACTCTTACTCTGTTGGACAATGTCATTTGTTAATGCCAAATCGAGTTCAGCCTCTGAATTTATACATGAGATTTGAATGTATCTTGTAGGAATTGGTTCAAATTATTAACCAAAAATTGGAAAATGAAAAGGTATGTAAAAGTAAAAATGAAAATGTGCGACTACGTGTCAACTTCAACCAAATATTCGGACTTGATCCGATGGTCAAATTACAAAAATAAATAGACCAACTTATTCTACTCGTCGAGTAGATTGTCATGGTATATTTGGAATCTCGAAATCAATTCCGAATGAATGAGAAATTGCGGAACAAAGTTGGAAGAAATGAAGTGTTGCAACTTTTCGAAAGGATGTAAGTTTTGACAAAGTGTTGCAACTTTTTAAAAAAAGATGCATGTTTTGGCTCATACTACTTCATCTGCACCCTTTCTATATCTATAAATAGAACTCTATGGACATGATTTTGGGTACACCAATTGCATTGAGCATTCATTCTCCGATTGCAATTCTCTCATTTCTAATTTCATAGCATTTCATAATTTCCTTTGTAGAGGGGAAATTCTCTCAAAAATTCGTCGGTTTCTTGCGGTTTGAAGTTCTACTACCACAAGTTGTGAATTCATTGTATTTTGGGAGACAAGTGTCATTCACCGTAAGCACCGTAGCGGGACAATTTGTCTTAAGGAAAGAGATACCTTCTCGCCTTGGATTATTCTCTATTTCTATTCTTTCTTAATCCTTGTTTTGCGTAATCTTCATACCGAAACTCTGTCCAAATTTCCATTCATATAAATTGTGTTTTGATCACGCTTTTGCGGGTTAAAATTGGTCAAACAAATATATCAAAAATCAATCCTTACATAGCCCTTTTTATAAATCGTCTCCAACATATCTCAGATGCCTTAACGAACTTGGTTAAATTGTTTTTTCTTGTAATAATTGGGTGAAGGAATGGCAAGTACGAAGAGGCACTGGAAAAATTTGAGTCAGTTTTGGGATCAAAACCAGAGCCAAATGAATCAGCTGTGGCGTGTTACAATGTAGCATGCTGTTATTCGAAGCTTAATCAGGTAAACAATAGTTCAAACCAATTATGAATTGGGTCATTTACTGGTTCTTTACTCTTGCATCTGGAGGCTGGCTTTGCTTCCAATTGAATTAGCACTCAGCAACATATATACCAAGGACAACAAAATTTCCATCTAACTAAGAATGGTGCATGGCATGCCATTTCGTTGTTATTGTAGTTAAACATATTTTCACTAGGCTTGTGGGTATGCATATATTGAGCAATTATCTGCCTTTTTCACGTTTTCTTCTGACAATCCATCGCCTTCTTTTGTACTTATCCCAGATTCAAGCTGGTTTGTCTGCCCTAGAGGATGCTCTGGAAGGTGGATTTGAAGATTTTAAGGTAAGTTACGAAAGATTACATTCATCCCATATTATGTTTAGCCTAGTTATCAAACTTCTTGTGATGCTATTTTGACAGAGAATCAGGACAGATCCTGACCTTGCCAACATAAGGACAGCTGAAGATTTCGAACCTCTTATGAAGAAGTTTGATGAATCGTTTATCAATGAAAACGCTATCAACGCTATCAAATCAATATTCGGCATATTTAACAAGCAATAAAAGCAGCAGTCTACACCAATACATTGGGGAAGAGTGGGCTTAGTTTCCGAATGAGCTTCCAACAGAATTCAGATGTTTGAGTGCCGATCTCCTACTGGACCTGGCATAAGGAGGTCCTCATTATGGTATTTTGCTTATTAGGAATACTAGCTCAAGATCATTCTTGAATGACACTACATATTATTTTGGTTAGTGATTGGTTGTTTCGATTGTTTAATAATTTAGTCAATCATACATGTAATTACTTTTCACTTGAAGACTAAAAGAAGGTAGTTGTCAATTTTAACCATAATCATCTTGAAAAGAATAAAAGCTGGAATTTTAATTCTTGATTCCAATTCTTACGAATATCAGTACACAACCAAAATTTAGTTTTGGGAAATTCAGTGGCAATTTACAGTTGACAAGCTTTTGCATACTAAAATTCCATTTTAACTAGGTGGAAGATTACCTATGGTGTATCCACACACTTGAGTTTCTTAATCTTGACAGAAGTCCAAGTGGACCTAGCCAGTGCTGTTACCTAATACATGGGATTGACCATGTATTTCTCAATATTAACTCTCCAATTTTCTTCAACTAATGCAATGAAGCATCAACATAAAAAGCCATAACATCTTAGGGCTTATGAGGATGAAGATGAACTGGAAGTCCTTCAACTGGGGTGGGCATAAGATGCATTCTACTTTCTTATCAGGAATCAGTAAATCCCATCGAAATTTCTTAACTATGTTTTGCAGAAATGTAAGAATATCGAGTCTAGCAAACTCTTTACCCTAGCACATCGGAGATCCCCCTCCAACTGGAACATAAGAAAATGGGGTAGGTCCTGCCCTTTCATAGCTCGATGGATCAAATTTTATATTCTCTTCAAACAAGCTAGAAAGTGTATTTGTGAATAAGGCCTTCCTGTATAACTGCTGCAACAGCATCATTAGGTCATGAATCATTAGTTCAAAAGTGAATCAAAAAGGGCCCCTTTGACAATGCTTCTGATTTTATTTCTAGTAGAAGAGCTTCGTTAGAAATCTACCCTAAACTAGCTTCCTCTAAAAGCTCATCTAGGCAAACAAAGCACTTCCAAGAAATTATCCTAATATGTTCAAAAGCATTTTCGTAGTCTGAAAAATAGCTTTTGACTTTTCAAAAGCACCGCCAAACCGGTCCTAAATTACTGTTACAGAAATTCTTGAAATTCTTTTTTACTTGTGAATAAAGGGGGGAAGAAAATTCCAGAAGTCTTGGAAAATCTCATAAAAGAAGTAAGAATAAATAAGAGAAAAATTTAAGTACCTTCCATCCCGTGGGAATGTCATAAACTGCTTACTTAAAATCGACTAGTGCGTCTCTAAAAGCACCTATTGTGGGTGGTGATAGTCTAATAGTTTCAGACAATACATTCTACTAGTACCTCATCTTCTGTACATCATCCCACTGTGAAAACTCCCCTGCTTTGTAGGATGATTAGAAACATAAATCATTAGGAGTAGTTATGGCAACAAGGTGAAACGAAGGGTATGTACATTTACCTCTAAAAACATTTTCACCAGTTCAAGGAAGTTGTCCATGATTCTTCATCAGCATAGTTATGGCAACACTAGAAGTGTCGTGACCAGCCAGCTGATTCAGACATAAACTTGCCATTTTCATCAGGATGTTGTGAAGCTGAAACAATTTCCTGTTCCAAGGTTACTCTTCTTTTTCCGACTATTGATTGTACTTGTTTCTTTATAGCAATAGTCGCGCTCTTTGCATTAAGAACGTTGTTCCTGGGAAGTTAACAGGGACTGAGATTAGTCCATTCAAGAAAACAATAAACATCAAGTTTGGCAATTTGGTGAGGGTCCTCAAGGCTTATAAGAAACGAAATGCTACTTCAGTCGTATAAATTGATGGTTGGGAATACCTTCACCTCTTCTTTACCTTCATGTGCACCAAAACATGTTTTGTAATGGTCTTAAAAATCTTAAATGTATAAAATAAAAGGAATTTAAGAAGACCAAACAATCTTATACACCTTGTAAATGCATCAGGAATGATGAAACAAGATAGCATCTTCTCATTTGCTTCCCTTCATCACCAATAATGGTGGCAAGACAGTGTCCAAGAAGCATCCTAACAGAGGTAGGCCACCAAATTGTGACCAGTTTATTTTATTAATAAACAGAAACTTGTTCCCGTCAGGGCCATATAAAACTGCTACAGGCTCTCCCATAGTTTTTGGCTAACAGGATTGACATGTACGATGTATGGCATCCAAAATTTGGCCCTCTGCTACCACAACTGTTTACAAGATAAAATCATACTGAGGTACATAGCCAATCAGCTTAAGTTGCAGGTCTAAAACATCCAGTATAGAGTAAATTTCTCCTGATGCTGGATGATAATTATCACACGCAGAAAACTGGTGCGTCTTTTTGTCCACTTCAATCCAGCTCGAACCAGGACTTCTCTTTTCTACTCCATGTTCCTTCATGATTGTCCTAATTCTTGCAACTTCATGCCATCGATTTTCTTCAGCATACATGTTAACTAAAAGGGAATAATATCCAGTACTATTTGACTCCAAGACCACCAATCTATCAACAGCAAGTTGAGCAATCTCCAAGTTCTTGTGAAGCTTACAACCGCCTAATAAAGCACCCCAAACGACAGAATTGGGATCCATTCTCATACCTCGTATCAACTCTAGTGCTTCTTCCAGCAAACCGGCTTTGCACAAGAGATCGATCATGCATCCGTAGTGTTCAATTTCAGGAAGGATTCCATACTTGTGTGTCATGTTAAAGAATCTCCTCCGGCCTTCTTCCACAAGTCCTGCATGAGTACAAGCACTGAGAATACTAACAAAGGTCACGCCATTTGGTTTGATCTTTTCCTTCTCCATTCGACCAAACATCACTAATGCTTCTTTAGCATGCCCATGAACTGCAAGCCCATCAATCACAGAATTCCAACAGAAGAGATTTTTCTCCTGTAACTTGAAAAATACCACAAGTGCCCTCTCCAAGACCCCACACTTCGCATACATATCAATCAATGCAGACCCCATATAAACATCGAGATCAAACCCACTTTGCATAGCATATATGTGTATTTCCTTCCCTTGGTTCAGTGCCCCAAGATGTGCACAGGCTGATATTACAGTTGACATGGTCACTTCATCAGGTCTAACTTCTTCATTCTTCATTTCATAGAAAAGTTCTAAGGCTTTGCTATATTGCTTGCTCTTTGTGTAACAATTGATCATTGTTGTCCACGAAATCAAATCCTTCCCAAGCATCATATAAAACAACTCCTCAGCAGAGTTAACATCGCCAACTCTCACATATCCATGAATCATGGTATTCCTTGCAGCAGTATTTTTCTCCGTCATCTCATCAAACAACCTCCTCGCTGAAGCCAAATCCCCAATGCTGGCATGAGCTTCAATCATTGTAGACCAAGCAAAACCATCTCTTTCTGGCATTTCATCGAACACCATCCTTGACTCATCAACCCTACCAAAACTCGAATAAAAATCAATCAGTGCAGTTAAGACATGAACGTGCGATGGGAACCCGTATTTCCAGACCTGCCCATGAACACATTCCCCAAATCCCACAGCAGATAAAACTCTACAGCTCTTAGTTACTGCCGGGAACGTATAACTACTTGGATATACAGAATTCCTCAGCATGTCAATGTAGTACTGTAAAGCTTCAAATGGGCGAAAACAATTTACAAAGGCCCCAACTATTGCATTGTACACGAATATATTGGGATTTTCCATCTGAGAAAACGCAAAAATTGCCGAATCTATACTGTGAAAAGTGGAACAAGCAGTTATGTATTGGTTTACCAAGAAGCAATTTTGAGTTGTGTCGTTCTTGATCATCATTGCATAAAATGATTCAATCTCTTTCAAATTTGAACATCTTTTCAAACGATCGGCCACCTGTGCAACTGTTAATCTTGGGCCTACAAACACACTTGTAATCAGTAAATGATGAATAACTACACCTTTAAGGCTTTAACTTGTTCACAAAGAAAAATCATTGAACATTTGTAATGATGATTGAGAACAAAGATTGATGGTATCTAAGTAGGAGAGAAGTTAGACTTACGATTAACAACGAAGAATTTCATACGAATTGTTTCCAGTATATGGTACAATCACAAATCTTCTCGGTGAAAAATGGAAAATATACTCAAAAATAAATTGTACAAGGTGAATAAGGGGGAGATTCAGGGAAGTTTCGACTGAGAAGGTCCCACGCGAATCCCACTTCCATTCCATGCGAGTGTAGGTCAGCCAGGTGACAAATTCTTTCTGACAGAAGAGCTTAAATCACTTTGAGAACATGATATCTTCAAATAGTCGCTACTATTATTTGCTACATGTATTTGAAAATAGGATTAAACAACACTTGTAAGAAGTTTCATTTTGGTTCTCGACATTAATTTACTTATTAAATTTAAAACTTTCGTGCCTCTGAGTATCCCGTATTGAGCACGCATACTTGGGGTTCATCAAGTCATCCCCCGGTGTATGTCACGTCATACTAGCTCATTTCCTTCCTTACCCACCAAAATGCCAATCAGGCTTATTTTTCATTAGGAAGTAGACGGAATTCATCATACTGCATATGACAGATGGAAACATGCCATATCACTTCGAACGAAAGAAAAAGAATTTTGAATCTTGTCCATTATATTGTCCAGTACTACATACCAAATATGATAAATGAGAAAAAATTATTGAGAGTAATGCCATTCAATTCTATTGGTGCTTAGCACTAGTAACCAAAATGCACTGGACAATGGACAATTACCCCTCTGTCACAAATTAATATTAATCATCAGTAGAGTTGAATAACATCGTTCTTTGATGATAGTCAGAGAAATTTGATCAAATACAACATGGCATTTTGTGTTAGAATTTCTATTTTCTTCAAGCATTGTGCCATTTTTTTTTTTTTGAAGGATGTTCGAGGTTAATATAGAAAGATTAGATTGTTTTGTAAGCGACCATATCACCAAGCCTTTCCGTGTTTCAATATTTGTATCAAAAGCTCTATCAAACAACCCCTCAAATCTTGTTAGTATACTAAAGAACTAGGATTCTTCTGCCAACGCCAACACAAGAAAAAAGAATATATAACATGTCAAAAATTTGATGATTTTGATCTAATTAAAAGGCAGAGATTCAGCTCTGTTTTGATTCAGCAAGATAGCAAATAATGTTCATACACAGTTCTTTTTTTTCCGAACCTCTCTCAATTCAGTATTGTATGGTCGACATTACAGAATATCATGTATGGTTAGGAAGCAAAAAGAATTCATCAGAAAGTTACAAAAGTTGAGAATCATTACATGACTATATGTGGTACAGTGTCACTTCATATTTTTACACAATGAACCCAAAAGCTGCCTTGTTTTTATTCTTCAGGACAGGGTTCGCCCAGTCGTTTCACAAGTACATCCAGCTACTATCATCATTGGACAATTACATCAAATGAATGAAACTATAAATGTTATTTACTTTCAATTTCCTTTTCATCGGCGCCTGTTTAACATCCCTCATCGCTGAGTGGGGAGGGAGTTGGCCTTTCAACCAAGAGCGATAAAAGAACTTGAATCAGCCTATAAATGGATAATATATTATGATGTTGGAGCAGAAACTGATGGTGGAACTCGGAGGACTTGTTGTAGTAAGCGTGCTGCAAGACGTTGAGTAATTCCACCAACCACACGCCCTCCAAGATTTCGTGCTTCAGGTTCTTGGAGTACCTGCTCATTGATGTTTCTCGAGTCAGCTCATCTAACTTCAGTATTTCGATTACTTCGAAGTAAAAGGTAGCTACTGTTGGCTTGAAAAGTACCTCCGGTATTTACACATACCCTGGCTCTATTTTTCATATCCATGCATAATTTGTCATAATACCAACACAGACCAATTGTAGAGCATTTTTCAAAATAATAATCAATACATTATTAATAAATATGGATCAGCAACTGAGAATTCACATTGTTGAAGAATGCTATAGCAACAATTATTTGATCAACGAGGAACTCTTTCTGAGAGGTTGAATATCTGTAAAAAGGACTATTTTGTAAACAAGTATTATGGATATAGTTCTTTCTGTTTAAGGGAATGGAGCAACTTAGATACTGTAAAGAGATTATCAGTCACGTAAGAGAGAACTAAGGTATGAGGCAAGAATTTTACCATAAAACATCAACTGAAGAAGGGAAAAAGTAAATTGTAATATATAATTAAAAAAAAAAAAAAAGGCTGCTTAAATCGAATCCTAAAACAGAAGAACAGCTTAGGTGAATAATTTTCTTTAAAAAAAAAAAGAAAAGAAAGACCAGTTCACAGGTTTTAAATTCTAAAGTTTTAAGAGTTACATTATTAAGGAATTTCTAAAAGCACAATCCATTTAAAAAAACCACATGACCATTTTAAGAAATCATATTATTACTAATTTATAGGTCTAGCAGTGTTAAGAAATCCGAAAGTACTTGTTGAAATGAAATATGAAAATAACAACCAAAAAGCACGTAGTTAGCTTTTTACCTGTAAAATGGGCAGCAAAATACTAGGATCAAAGTTCTCTGAGGACCGCAGTAACCCCCATATTCTAAGTACTTGTGCCCTAAGCCCCAACATGTTTTCTTGTTCAGCAGTGGTCATTGCAAATGGACCCGTTGCACTGCCATTGAAAATAAGAGTCCTCATAAGCTCATTCACAGAGGAGTATGATTCAACTACAGAGCCAAGGATAACAGCCTCAGTGACGCGAACAGCCTCTTTAATCACTAAAACCCTTAGCTCTTCACCATCTGGACCCAATAATAGTTTGAGGACAGGTTGCAAAGCATCTTTAGCAGAAAAATCTCTATCTTTCCTTCCCTGTACTAGCAGGTTTTCAAGTCTGTTCCACCTGAAGCAAATGATGGACGCTTTTTGTAAATTTGATCAACGGCACAAGTTAGAGTTACTCTTCCAATTCTCAATGACAATTCAGAAATATGAAAAAGGATTAAAACAGCTATACATACCTGAATCTCCCGTCCTTGAATAGCAACTCAATAAGAGCATCTCTCAGATATGGATTAGGATCAGTTAGAAGCCTTTTAGCGAAATAAGGATATGATGCAGCCAGCACTTTAAAATTAGGGTCAGCATACAGTGCTAAACCTTCCAGAACAGTAAGTGACCTTAAAATCAATGCATAATAAGCTGGAACTGCAAAAATTAAATTAAGTAGAAGCAGCAGCATCAGTCATGATGCAGATATTTGAATGTCAAATATAACTGTTAATGTGCATTATATGTTTATAAGCACGAATTTCATCTAATGTGTCTGTAAACTTTCAATATTAAAGAAGGTTGCTCAAAAGATGAAAGATATTTGACATTAAACAAAACAGCAACTGATTTAAGGACTAAGGCTACTATAGCTTTTAAGAAAAATACAGCATGAAACAGGCAATAATATTGATGGGTTGATGAATAAAAGGATACAAGTGGCTCACCGTTAAATGGATATTGATATAAAACAGCACCCAAACCATCCACGATGGTTTTAAAGTTGAGCTCACTCACAGTGGAATTTAGTGCATCATCAAAAAAGTTCCTTAGAGCTGGTACGATGGGAGATACATCTACGTCGGGGGACAAAAAGTCTAATGCATAATAATCACGAGCCATAGCTTCATAGTCTCGATTAACCATGTGGACAACATGACCAATTATGGCAGATCTTGCTTGTTCAGGAGTTTCACTCATCATTCCAAAATCAAGAAAAGCGAGTTTCCCATCAGGTGTTGCTAAAAGATTCCCGGGATGAGGATCTGCGTGAAAATATCCATACTCGAGCAGCTGTCTAAGACTGCATTGAATGCCTGTGTTAACGAGATCCAGAACTTTGAGCCCCTGTCTCTCAATGGCATCTTGCTGATTTAGTTTGACTCCCTCAACCCACTCCATTGTTAGTACCTTCCCACTCGTGTAGTCCCAAAAAATATCTGGGACAAGGACATCTTGTTTGTCAGCATACAACTTTTTAAATCTCCTTGCGTTCTGCCCCTCCTGCATAGACCTCTAAAAATTAACATTCACACCCAACAGCTTTCTACTTCACACAGCTGAATGAAAGGGAAAACCTTACAAATCTCTGTGTAACAGAAAAAGTTTGATATTATTATGAAGCAAACGCAAAACAATATCAGAAACCAACCTGCACATAATTGAGCTCTTGGTAAACTCTCCTAGCAAATTCGTCAATAAGAGCAACGACGTCACTTGTAATTATATCAACATATTTATTTATGAGGAAACCTAAACCTCTTATAAGATAAAAATCCAGCCCTATTGCTTCTTCAATACCAGGTCTCTGCACCTTCACAGCAACAACCTGGCCAGAGTACTTCAACTGAGCTTTGTACACTTGACCTAGACTGGCAGCAGCAATTGGAGATGCAGATATTAATGAATAAACAGATTCAAGTGGACGTCCCAACTCTTTCTCAATGCATGTAAACGCCGCTTCATCTGGAAAAGTTGGCAAAGCATCCTGCTCCATCACATTAGTAATAAGGATTATGTGACACAAGAATCAAATAAGTACACATAAGTTTCATTACCCAATGATAACAAACATTTATTGAGAAAGTCTCAAAAACACACTCGAACAAATTATGCCGCGTACAATAAACAGTGAGGAACTTGATCAATCCCTATATTCTTTATGCATCACCTACCCGTCACTTTCGTCCCTGGTACCCACCCAGAAACAGCTCAAAATTCTCTGATTCGATAGAAAATGAACTTAAAATTGAAATGAATTCATACACAGGTATAAATAAACGAAATGCTACCTGCAATTCCGAGAGTTCCTCGAGGTATACTGGTGGACACAAATCAGGCCTGGTGGACAAACCCTGGCCAATTTTTACAAAAGTAGGCCCCAGTCCCGTGAAAACCTGCCTAAGTTCAACTGCCCGCAATCTTTGGTTCTGATCGAGCTTCCCATTCAATTGGTCGAGCCACAGCTTAAACGCAAAAGAACCAAGTCCAGAAAATATTTCTATCGCCCTCTGCACCACCTTGATAGGGCGCGAGCCGTATTTGGCAGCCAAAAATTCGGGTGTATATATAGAAGCGTCAGCAGCCCGGGCCATAGCCCTCGCTTCTGCTTGCATATCATCAGCTCGGTCTCTGGAAGATAGACTATAGGAGGAAGATTTCTCTTGAACTCGCAGCACAGTCACTGGAACATTGTCGCCACCACTCCCGCCGCCTCTAGTGGCCGGAACCGGTCGAGGCTTCGCCTCCACTAGCGCGGCTCGCGGCGATTTTACTCTCCGGATACAGCGTTTGTTCTGAGGAAAAATCGTACTCGAAGGTTGCAGAACCAACGTATTCATGGGTGGCGATTGGAAGTTGCGAAACTGCAAGCGAGGTGAAGAGATTTTTCACGCGCACAGCGATTTGTGGGAATGGACTCGATGATTTGTCGCTTCGTTGACCTCTATTTTTCTACTGGATACTTTCGTGGAGTTCAAAAAACCGCCGAGTAATTTATAATTTAAACATGCCCAAATTAATATTTAAATAATTTTATCCAAGAAACTTTAATTATACTCGAAGTATCACGTAGTAACGAAAACACTGGACCCTATTTAACCAACGTTCTTTAAAAACAAAAAAATTACATTCTTACATGTATATTCTAAAATTTTCCTTATTTTTTAATCACATATTTTTCATTAATACACTATTAAAAAATACATTCTTATAAAAATAATGTGATTCAAACAAGGGCTAGAAAATGAGCATTTCTCGTGACTAGTGTGCTCGAATTAAAATAGTAGGCTACATTTGACATAAATTCTTGCTAAAAATTGAGAATAAGTCACTTTAAAGATGAGTTCACATGGCCCTTGTTTGGATTGATTTCTTAAAATTCATTTTTTCTTAAATTAAATTCCAATCACATATTTCGTGGTATCCGTAACTTTTATTTACTTTTTAACTACACATTTCACTAACTTCTATCAAAATTTTCTAAAAATCTAATTTTTATACAAGCCAAGCATGAGCTTATATTGAAATTATCAAAAAGACTTAGGATCCGTTTGATTGTAAAGATGGAATTGAATTGAATTGAATTGAAAACGAATTCTAGGGAGTTGAATTGCCTAAAAATTATTTTCCTGAGAATTGTAAATTATTGTGTTTGATTGGTATAATTTTCCACGTGGAAAATATTAAAATAAAAATATTTTTTGGTGTTCGTTTGACTTTATTTTACATGAAAATTGTCAATTAAAGGAATAAATTTTACTAGTATTGAGAATGAAATTTGTTTCTATTGCCAACAAAAAAAATAAAAAATAAAAAAAATAAGAAAATCATCTATCTTTTGGTGTTCGTTTGACTTTATTTTACAAGAAAATTGCCAATTAAAATGAAATATTTTTGTACAATATTTCTAAGAATTTATTCCTATGACAAAAAAAAAAAAATTTTCCCTATGTTAAATTTGACAATGCAAAAGATATACAAGAACCAAGACGAAGCAAAAACAAATCATGACACTACATTAGCAAAAAGACATTAACTTTTCCATTTCTGCATTAGTGTTTGCCCTATTAAGAACCATGAACAGAAGCGAAAGCCTTGACCTTGGAATCAAGGTCCATAAAAAAAAAAAAAAAAAAAAAAACTGTAACAGGGAACTAGAAAATCAAGAAACCAAATTCCATGGAATTCAAAACCTATCAAACAAACAAAATTGAAAGAAAGTGGAATTAGAATTCCATTTTCCATGGAATTTGAACCAATCAAACATAGCCTTATTTCAATTCGCAACAAGCCATGAATTAATAACAATAATGGAGGCTTGGATTCTCATTATAATCCATTAGATGACTGAAAAGATATAAGTCATTACAAATTACAAATTGTACTTTTAATAATATATTTTATTGGATTTGTTGAGTAAATCCCACCTACAATTGAACAAATCATTCAATTCAACCAATTAGCTTATGGAATTTGAGAAAAAATGGAAGAAAATCAAAACCAAAAACAAGAATTATAGAATGATATTTTCCCCTTTTTATTCCACTCAGAAATCATTGATCCAACACCACAAAGGCAACACCAAGTGGAGATACCAGTCATAGAGACAGAGGCACACACACCAAGGCAAGTAACTAGAAGGCAGAATACACAAAATAAGCAGAAGACGGTTTCAGTTCACTAAGAAAAGGAACCGGTTTTTGGTGTGTTGAAATGAGGCCAAGATTCTCCAATTTATAGCCAACGGGTCCAACAAAATTTCCCAGAATTTTGGTAGGATAGAGTTCGAGAAAAACTGAAACTTGTTACAAAGATAAGGATAGTACAACCAATCTATCTTTACATGAGTTAGAGAGATAGGAATCTCCTTTTCAGATAATCTCCAAAGTCGGTTATTGAATACCTAGCCCAATGAACTGATTTCCTCTAAATACTCAACACAATTCAGTTACATCAATTGTTGTGTGGATTTATAATTCTTTAATATTGGGCTTATAGCCTGTGAAGTTAAACGGATCTCGATTTTTCATCATTGTCTAGGGAATTTGGATATCACTTACCAAAATGTCCAACAGGATTCATTCGTGCTATCCATTTATAAATCAAACTCTTCATAAAATCGTCGCAAATGGAGGCTAAAAGTATGTTTGAGAAATGTTTATAAATAATTTTAATTATAAATTGATAAAAACAAGCGATGGATAAATATATACTTGATGGTGCTTGTGGATCTCTAGAAATTTCTAAATAAAAGTAGTTGAAATATTTACGAACACTTTATAAACACAAGACATGTTTTAAATTATAAGAGACGTTACGATCGTTTTAGAAAAGTAAATATAATTTTTAGAAAGAAAATTTGAAAACGAGTGGAAGTAAACGTGAGAATAGAATAATTAGAGAAAAGATGGTGACGCTTGAAAATAACACTAGGATTCTAATCAATTAATTAATTTTTCCATTATCTAAACTTAGTGGAAGCAAATGTGAAAATCCCAATGAAGGGGGGAATGGAATGATATTCAAGTCCATGAAAGAACAAAATTTATAGCCAATTATGAGATATAAACTTTTCAAAAGAGAATGTGATAGGATGAGATAGAACATGATAATTGTAACACTCAGAATATTTTTATGAATCGTGACCCCAGTCCTATTTTTATGCATTTAAACAACAAATGGTTAAATTATATTATTTTTATATTTGGCTCTTAAAGGATAAAATCAATTCACGTCTCAATCTTGTCGACTCAGTGTAATATATCAATGTAAATTCAATAATGCTACTATAACATGGTTGGAAACATGCGAAATCCAGAATTTTAAAAAAGTTGATGTGGCAATGCTTTTTATTTCAATATAATAAAAGCGTGCTCCCTGTCCCGAGTTGAGGACAGGGATATGGAGGGACACCTGCCCTTGGCCGACACCCCTCCAATAGGGGGGGCGTCATATGACGTCCCTATTTTTATCCCTGTCCCGGTGTCGGTCAGGGGCAGGCGCCCCTGTTTTTATCCCTGTTCCCAACGCGGGACAGGGAGATTAATTCATACAATAATTACAAAAGCCACAGTAGTTTTCTCTCTCCAATTCCCGTGGCCACTGGAAGAGCCCCTTTCTCTCCCACTTGACCTTTTAATAGTAAAATTAATAAATAATGAAGTATACATAAATAAATAAATAAATTACTTAGGGCATGCTCGCTCTAATTTTTTAAGATTAAATTTTGTGAACATGTGTAAAAATTATGAATTTATAAATAAATTTATTTTATTAAAAGAATGAATGGTTGAAAATAAATTCAATAGTATAAGTATCAAACATGGACTTATTTATACTCTAGAAATAAGTCTTGTATCATCTTGTTGTCAATTTAAATATCTTTTCTTTACCCATAAGTAGCCTTCACGTTAATATTAGGAAAACAATTTAAAAATTCTTCAATAAATGACATGATCAAGTATCTTAGTAATGTCTTCGGGGGCGGACCCACATGGGTCATGTGGGGTCACATAACCTCATAAAATTTTGTCTCAGTTTTTTTTTTTTTTTTTTTTTTTGTACGATCTACTTTGATCACTCGTTACGAGATGCCAAATAAAGTCGAAATATTACATTCTTAATATCATTTCAAAGTACTCATGGCTTAGATTTTCACTCATTAATGGCGTGCGAAGTGGTCAATTATAACAAAAGTTACTACGCGTCAAAATAGGCCGTTCGAAACTAGTATTTTGAAAATTTCAATGACATCCTAACTTGTAAAATTCCTCGGCGATCATGTGCTCTCCAAATTTACAAATCATCTATGTCATGTAGAAGCTCGTTTCGAAAACCATATTGTTGTCATATCGAATGCTCCAAACGGATATCGAAAATAGTTAAATATATACAAACGTACATCTCAAAAACGACGTTTAACTCGTTTTTTCTTTTAAAAAATTCAATTATTTCGTTAACGTTTATTATTTTTATACGATAAACTTTTCAATATAATTTATATCATTTTATTAGGAAATTTTACATGGAATATGACATAAAATTTTTTAGGATCATTACGGATTAAATGTAATTTAAATTACTTTCGAATTATATTTTCTTTAAATTTGAATTTCATTTACTTCCTGAATTAAACTTGAAATTTATTTCAATTCATTTACGAAATGGTAAACAAAATTATACAAGTAGAAAAATTTATTTAATAATAATGTAATTATATGACGTTTTCAAGTATCAAAAAATTTATTAACTTATTTCCATTAATATTATGTTGTTTTAAAAAAAATTATTTTAAAATTTTTGACCACACAACATTAAAAGTCTGGATCCACCCCTAAATGTCTTCATGCTGTAAGAAACGAGATTTTACTCTCTTTATCATTTTAGTAATTTATTATGTTTATTATAACATGAAGACATTACTAAAAAATCTCGTTTATTATAGAATGAAGACATTACTAAGATACTTGATCACGTCATCTACTGAAGAATTTTTAAATTATTTTGCTAATATTAACGTGAAGGCTACTTATGAGTAAGGAAAATATATTTACATTGACAACGAGATAATACAAGACTTATTTCTATAGTATAAATAAGTCTATGCTTGATACTTATACTTTTGAATTCATTTTTTAATTTTATTTTCAATCATGTATTTTTTAATAAAATAAATTTATTTATAAATTCATAATTTTTACATAGGTTCACAAAATTTTATCTCAAAAAATTAGACCGAGCATGTCCTAAGTAATTTATTTATTATGTATACTTCATTATTTATGGATTTTATTATTAAAAGGTGACTTGGGGAGAGAAGGCTACTGTGGCTCCTATAATTATTGTTTTATATTGAACTGTTAAAATTCTGGATTTCACCGTCACAATAGCATTATTGATGTAAATTTTAATTGCTTCTGTGAGAAACGGGAAAAAAGCCTCACATGTAAGAAGCGCAAAAGCCTGACACACGACTTCATTCAGCTCTGCACCGTCGGTCGTGTACGATCGTCGTCGGGAAGGTCGTTTCGGTTTTCTCTTTCGATTGCGGAATCAGATTCGACATTCGAATAGTAGATTTGAAACGCCCGCCATCAATCCAATAATACCTATCATTTTTCAGCATAGAACATCAAGGTAATGTGACAATCAAGAAAATCTGTAGACAATAGATAGGCGAACTGACTCTAGCAGGTACTTCCTTTATGGCGTCAACTAGCAATTCAAAAAGCATTGCAGAGGATGATGAAGGAGAAGAAGAGGAGGTATGTTAGATTACTATGCCCAAATCATTGGGGTTTCAGATCTTAAGTGTGTTCGTTGTGATTTCATGTTTTTATGGTAGTATATTTGCAGATTGCGCGATTTGATGATTTTACTCTTGCCTCTTCGTGGGAAAGGTACGATTATCAACAGAGAAACCTGGTTTAAACCAGAGTTCAGAGTACTTGCAAATTATATAATTTGACCAATAATGTGAATTGCGTTGCAGGTTCATTTCTGATATTGAGGTGGTTTGTCGACAGTGGTTGGATGATGGTCCCCAGAACTTACTTGTATGCACCAAATTCGTTTTGTTGGTCATTATCGTATTTTATGACAATTATCACGATGAAGCTTCAGTAGATTGCTTCTTTTTATGCATCTGAATTCATTAGATAAATATGCTGAGATATATTTCTTGGACATGTCAGTCATTTCCATGATCAATATGTTGTTTTGCTTGCTGTTAACCTATCTTACATGGACCTTTCGATTGAGACGCAGTCATCTTAATGTCATTTCCCTATCTCCTATCTAATCTCAAATATACTGTTTTAATGACACCATGTTGGGAGTGGTGTATGGCTTATATATTCTTTGTTTCAAGTATAAAATAGTAGATTTTACATAAATATGACCCTTGGACGCAAAATCCATATAACACAGCTGCTAAGAAAGGTTTAAACAGTTATGAATCATTTTGATCTGGAATCATTTGCAGAAAGCTTTTATTAAAGTTGTTCGGATTAGCTTGTTAGATACACGGTAATCACGTTTTATCTCGATTCCCTTTCTAATGACTTTGAACCTTGTACCGTGTGTTTTATTGATTGCTCGTCTTCATTTTACACCAGTTATAATCTATTATTGTAATAGGTAAAGAGTGCTGTTCCAATGGATCTTTCAAATGGTTTGTACAAGGTCAAATCCGAGTTCAAATATGCTATGAAAAGCTACTGCATGGAATACTATTTCCAAGCAACTAACGATGGTACCTGATATACGCTATTGTAGCGAGCTGCAGAGTATTCATATCTAGATTTCATATTTTAATTAGAAATCTCGTTTGTCCAGGAAAACTTGCTGATTGGAATCAGGCATTGCATGATCTGCAGCTCTCTTTTGGGGTGAAAGAGTTTGTGGTCTCTGTTTTCCCCTCCCTCTCTTCTTAAATGACATTATTTCTTTTGCTATTTCCTCTCTTATTGTGTGAATAATGTCAGGTGATTGCTCCACAAAGTGCAAGTGGAGTGGTTCTTGATTCACCAGAGGCCAGCAAGCTTTTGAGTGCAGTTGCTATTGCTTTGTCTAACTGTACCAGGTTCAGCTGTGAACTACTTTGGATACTTGTTTGATTGTCATTTTTAACTTTAAGATGTAAAGGTTTTGATGTAAAAAAAGGTGCATTTTACTGGCTTTGAGACCATAGCTGAGTTTGGGCAAGAAGCAGAAGAAGATGGGTATCTGGGACTAACTAGGGTCTATTTTGTGGACATTTGGTTCTTATCATTTTGATGTAGATAATTGACGGCCTACTTTTTGGAACTTGTAAAGAGGAAATTATATAACTATTGAATAAACTTTTGGGTTTTTCCGGGAACAGGAAACAATTAAGGGTAGCTTTACTTTCCATGTTCTTGATCTTTGAGTGTGGGGAACTTTCAAGGAAAGACCTGTGAAAAGCATTATCAGGTTGATTTTCACTTCTAGTTTTGTTGATTAATGTCACGGAAATTTATAGGTAAGACAAGACAGAGAAAAATACGATTTTGCATTATATTGCTTCAAACAATTATATCAAGACTCAGCATGTTTGGTTAGTCACTACTGTGGCCAAATATACTTTTTATCTACATATTTCGTAGGACCCGTAGCTACTACCACTTATCATCCATACACCATAGCTTATATTTACTTGAATTATAAATAATCACCAATAAAACATGCATTCAAATAGTTCTTTAAAATTCTCCCCACTTTTTCATATGGCAATCATTATAAGACCGTTTATCACCCACAAAAACTAATTATATGACCATGGTAATCAGTTCACTTTCATAAACAAGTCCATTTTTATGTTTTCAATTCACACGAACAACTGAAATTCACTTAACAAGCCCATAATGTGAAATCTTCTATCCCAACCCCCATGCATTAACAAGGTTAACTGTGGAGGTAACATTTTTCAAAATATTCCTATGGTAGCAGCAAGATTTACCATATCAATGATCATTCTGTCAGAAATTGATCTTGATGATGTGCAGATTTTAGGGCATTGATTTAGTGGTTTGAGTTCTCTCAACATATTGAAGTTTGAAAATTTAGACTTACTCCTTAGCATGCCCACTCTAATACACTCATATATATAGTAGTCTCACAAACACGATTCAAAAGGCCTTTGACTGGTGGGCTAAACTTATAAGAAATATGATATTTATAATCATCCTTCTATCTCCCACATATCCTTTTTCTCTAGTTATACTCACCCATCCCTCGTTTTAGGAAAAGAATATAATGACCAAGGTATAAATATGGCTGCAGGATAATGAATAAGGTTTGTATTATTTATAGTGTGATCCTTCAACATATAATTCTTTTGTTTCTTGAATTAGGAACTCTGACCTGTGGAGACTTCATTTAGTCTTACGATTGTATGATGTTCAGGCAATTCTAACATTAGAACAAAACAGAATCACGGGTAAGATTGTGGAACAAGACCACAGTTGAGGAAGCACCGTAAGATCCTAGATTTTGTCGCTATCCTACTTTAGGATAGATGCTATTTTAGGATATTTATTCATAGAAAGCCCAGTAGCTCAATGTCTTTCTTTTCATGCATTAACAGATATAGGTAAGATTACGAAGTCACTAAGCAGAGAGTTTCTCTTAAATGATAACTTAGTTTGTGCTTCTATTTTCCATTGATTGCTCGTGTTTGCAGCTACTCTAGGAAACTGTTAATTTGGTCATGTTGCTATTGAAATGTAATCTTTTTAGCATTTATATTAACAGTTTTCCAGGAGGAGAATCTGAACCTTTACTTTGTTGTTGTCAACCTTCTATGTCTCCAAAACCAAGGTTGCTAAGAGTGCTCTACTCATTGACTTGTATTCTCATATGTGGAGATGTTCATGGTTTATTATTGATATTTTTCTGCTATCAACTAAATTGTAATTATCTTTTTAACTGAATTTCTGTAATTCTGCAATGGATTCTCCTATTTGAGCCCACCACTGCAGAATGATCTATGCATGATTGTTGATCTCTTTTGTGCTTATACTATGCAGTTTGTGGCCAGCTTTTGTCCCTGTTCACGATCCTTCTCGTAAAGCTTATATAGGTATCCAGAATATGGGAACAGTTTTCACTAGAAGATTTGAAGCCGACCGAATCGGTAGCCAGGTCCCGATAAAGCTCATGCATTTGGAAGGATTATATGAGCTGTTTGTTTCTAAATTTGTATGTTCTGAATTTATTTGTTTAGTTGTTTCTTATTCAGTCATAATTTGGTAATTCATTACGTTTTCAAGGTTTTACAACTTATTGATGAATATTCGTGATTGGCGTGCCTTCTTTTGCCTGTAGTCTTCTTTTTTACAAGTTTCCTTTTCCAAATTATCTTTATATGGGAAATTATTTACTCATACGATGGTACATCGTCTTTTCAAACATGTCCTGAAGACCTACACCAAAGTGGATTTTTCAATGCAACAATTCAAAATCCATTTTAAGATGAGGTTAACATACAGAACCCCTACGTATGATGATGAGGACGAAGTACATGAAGCTGATGCTGGTGTCACAGAATCTGGCGGGAATGCTGAAGGTGAAGCTCGCAATAAAACTCAATGGGATGATGATTGTCCTTGGAGTGAGTGGTATACTACAGATGACCCAGTCAAAGGTAATCGTTGCTGCCGCTGTCACTGGTATCTATTTTGTTGTGCACTGTTGTGCTTATTGTGTTTAGATGTTTGTTCCTGTGGAGATAACTGAGATTCAAATGGATAATCAGTAGAAGTGACAGTGTTTCCCTGTTTAAAAGTGGGTCATTGCAAAACCTCTTTGCAAAGATCATGTCATGGATAATCTATGGAGAGTGAATCTGGAATGTCCTTGGATTCGAAAACATGTGCCCCCCCCCTCTCTCTATATGTTGGGAAAAAATTATGACAATCTAAATTGCTTGCTTATGGGAGCAATGACTCAAAATCTTGAACATTTTGACACTACCTATATTCGTACCAGAGCTTATGCTTCCGTTGTGAATCCTTAAAGTACCTAAGTATATAAAACCAAGCAAGCAACGTCTCCTATGGTCTAAAACAGACATTGGAGTCTGAGATACCCTTAGAAGTTGAAGGGGAAACTGCAATCATGTTCCCCATTGTTTGGGGCCTTTGTCAATTGAGTTCCCATATTAATTTTTTTGGCATACTGATTCCCAAACTATGTTTCCAACACCACAACGGACTGGCTGGTTCAACCGGTACCCGGACCAGAAACCGGTTTGGGTCACATGGCAAAAACCTATGTAGAAAACTGGTGAAAAAACTGGCCAACCAGCTGGTTTAGCAGTGAACTGGATACAGATTTCCCTGTTTTCTCATTTCCCCTTTTTATAAAAAATTGAACACCATGTTCTTCACCTTGGTTTGCATGGTTTCACCACAGCTTAATTTTGTCAAAGAGATACACACTTGCCATAAACGTTGAAGGAGATAAAATCTGGACATAATTGAAACCTGAGGCAGATGACTAATAGACACTCAAGAGTAATAATCTTGACATGGAATTGATTTTTATTATTCAGCAGACCGTGTTTGGCGCATGTGTGTGTGAGAGAGAGGGAGAGAGAATTTATTGCCATTTTATGGAACTTTGTTGTTTATTAATTATTTTTAATTACCGGTTCAACCATCGACCCTTGACCCCCTTAACTTTTCCGGTTTAATGTCTGGGTCAGTTATAAAAAAATATTTCCCAGCCTGCAGTTATTGTAGTAAAAAGTCTTTCGGATGGTTACCATTCGAAGTAGAAGTCAGCAAACATTAATTTTCATGAAAGGACGATTTGTCGTCACATTCAAATGAACAAACCTAATTACAAACTAAAAAGAAAACCAAAAGAAGAAAAGAAGAAACCTCTCTTCCATCTCTTATATGGTTTCTGCCTTTTGTCTTCTACAGACAATTAGAAAAGGGTCAACCATGAAATAGGCTTGAAAGTGAGGAACCATTCAAGAATTCCTTTAAGCTACGAAAATTAAAGGTTGGAGACAATCATACCAAGAAAATTAGAACGAGGTCCAAAATGCCAATGATCCCAAAGGATGGGGGCTGCAGCTGCAACTTTCTCAAAATTTAAATTCTTGATGCGCCCTGTACGCATACCAAGAAAATCAGAATGAAGACAAAATGCCAACGATCCCAAATCATGGCAGCTGCAGCTGCAACTTTCCCGAAGGTTAAATTCTTGATGTGTCCGGTCCATGGGAAAGTTTTTGACTAATTATGAAGTGTGTTAGAAGGGAAATAATTGAGAATCCCTTGAGGTAATCTAGTACGTATTTAGGTCATGGGTGTATGAGGTTGACTTGTATGCATTGCTTGAATATCCTGGTAGTGAACTTCAGTGGCTGTACAGCAATACTTCAAAGAGTGTTTATTTATTTATTATTTTTTTTGTATATTTGAACGGATAAACTACATTCGGTTACTTTACCACAGACCCTCAAGTAAAAGTCAGAGGCTTTCATTACACAGCTTTGTAATCTCCATGTGCTACCTGAACACATTCGTAGCATCTCCTTCAGAATTTGAAGGGATAATAGAGCCTCCAGTAATGCACACTGTTCTCCATAATCTGGAGAACCGTACTGTATCTCTAAAGAAGATGTGTAAACTTGAAGAACAGGGTGAGTTGTAAATGGTAATTCTAAGATGAAATTTGAAATTGTAATTGATATTTGAAATCAGTAGACCTAGAAGTCAGAAGCATGCCCGTTTGGCAAAATTTATAAATAATTTATAAATGTTCCACACATTCCAATGGAAACGTAAATACTATATACTTAAAGACCACTTATTTCTATCTATTTATAAATTAAACAGTTTATATGTCTTGTTATAAATCTTTGGAAGTTGAAAATTGTCAGCATTGAAAATTGTCAGCACATGATTGGAAGAAAATACCGTGGTAAATCATCGAGCAACAGAACTTCAAATTTTGATTTTGCTTATATTTGTAACCCACGGCACAGGAGTTCGGGTGGTTTACTTTGAATCCTTCTAGTGAAACGAGAAACTTCTTAACGGACCTCAAAATTATTTAAAGCATCTCCTTCAGATATAAAGGGCTAGCAAAGTACCTTCAATAATTCTCACATTCCAAAATCCAAAGACCACTTATTTCTATCTATTTATAAATTAAACAGTTTATATGTCTTGTTATAAATCTTTGGAAGTTGAAAATTGTCAGCACATGATTGGAAGAAAATACCGTGGTAAATCATCTAGCAACAGAACTTCAAATTTTGATTTTGCTTATATTTGTAACCCACGGCACAGGAGTTCGGGTGGTTTACTTTGAATCCTTCTAGTGAAACGAGAAACTTCTCAACGGACCTCAAAATTATTTAAAGCATCTCCTTCAGATATAAAGGGCTAGCAAAGTACCTTCAATAATTCTCACATTCCAAAATCTAGAGAATCATGACAAGTACTTTTATTGAAAATGTGAAAGGTGAAAAAACAAGTTTAATCTATAACGGCGAGAGGAGGATGGCGAATTTTTAGCTTATTGTCCGTTTCTTCACATATTTTATGCATTAGGTTTTTTTTAACACAGTTTCACAAGACTTCGTAGTTATACATATAAACTACACAACTAATGAACGCTGAAGTCCTTTTGACACACAAGCATATCCAATCACCCAACCACCACAACTCTGTGGGCAATTGTTTGAGTCCACCCAAATTAATTCCCCCATTGTTGAAGATCCATATTTAAAAAAATATGCCGTGAATACCTGTAAGGAACTTTCTTTTTCATGATACTAGGTCTTCAAAAACAATTGGTTTGTACTTCATGCTATTTATGTATCCTTAACAATCTTCTTTTTAAATTTTTCATGTTAGTTTGATGCTTTATGGGGTTTGATATGTTTGCATGTTTCTTAGCTGGTATAAGTTGCTGCTAATATCTCTCAACTTGTGGGAAGGTCATTTTTCTGATTTGTAATATTATTTCATGCAGGATTTGAGTTACTTGCCATATGGTCTGAGATAACAGCTGAAAGTTCTCTCGAGATGGCTGAATTGGAAAATGCCTCACCATTTGAAGCTGAGAAATGGTTCCTACATCCATGTCTCTCTGAAAATTTGTAAGAGTCGGTTGCAACTTATAATATCTCAACTAATGTTTATTCTCTCAGTGCTTGGGGATATTTCTTATTTTGCTGTAAGATTTGTTAACTTCAGGGTTGCTCTAGTCTACCTCTAATCTTTAAGGATCACATGCTTAAAACCTTGAGAAAATCGGTCCAAATGTTGTTTGAATTGGGAAATCCTTGCGGCAAGAATAGGTTGCCATGTTGGATGCAGCCAACATTTTACCTTCTCCATATAGTCTTCAAGAGATTGGTTTTATGATTCCTTCAAAGTCATTAGACTTTTAATTTTGCACTTTAGGGCATAGCCATTTTGGATCTTATGTCCCAAATCCCTGTAATAAGTGACATTTCGTGTATTCCCTACAAGATCTGCTTCACATGGAGTCTGCCTACTCGATGAGGTTTAGTTCTATCGGTCCTTTGAATTAGTCATTTACTTCTTCTTCTGGTATTAAAATTTCACCTTTCTCCATTAGAGAATTTGGAATCAATTCACTGTTTCCTTTGGTGATAAAGGAAAGAAAGAATTTAAATTCCTGCCCCCGCTCCAGTCAAGCAGCTGCAAATCAAGCTCTATAGCCCTTTCTGTCCAACTCTAACCCCCCTGCTTACTGCTCTAACCCCTTCAGGTTTATGGCTTTTGGGGTTAACAGTAGAGAAAATTCCAACTCCATACAGTATCCTGTTGGTGGATTGAAAAAGGCTTTGTCCTTGTCAAGTAAAGCAGCCGCTCCTGACGGGGAAGAGTCTGACTAGTCTATGCTTCAGCAAAAACTTTGATAGTGATCAGGAAAAACTTAGCAACATAGTTATGATGTTTATTCTTTAGTGATTTAGCATTTTTGCTGGTTGGAAGGAGATTGCACGTAAGTTATGGGACATAAAGCTTAATCAAGTGAGTTTGTATTTGAGAGAGTACAACCTTTTCCAGCAATCAAGGATAGAGACCCTTTGGCAATTTTAACTCTCTCTACCTAAAGGAGTATAAGAAATATATAAATTCTATTGACTTGTCATGTGATCTGTGGCATGAGAATCAATAAAACAAAAATAAACCGAAAGAGAATCAACATTTGAGATGGTAGAATGAGCAAACGCTCAAAAAGACAAGAGATTGGCTTGTTGGGACTGAGAAAAAAGATCAAAATATTTATCAACAGAGAGTAACAGAGAGACATCATTTTAAGCAATGATAGAACTGTAAATGGGATGAGAAGAAAAAAATTTCAAGTGGCGTCAAACCACTAGAATTAAGAGTAATATTATCACAGAAGGGACTGAAGTACTGCAATCTAGTGTAAAAAAGATCAAACCAAGGGTGAACCATCCTAAACATGTTGAACTGCCTTGGAAATAGCCTATGACTAGAATATGTATTGAGCTGGTTGGAAAAGAACTAAACCGAAAATGAAATTGGTGAATGATTTTGTCGTTGCTTCATCCTGTCGCAGGATTCAAACCAGATCTGGTAGCTTTCAAGTGAGTTTTCAGAACTTCGACAATGGTACTGATAAAAATAAGTTTCAGAACAAGCTTCTAGAGGCTTTTTTTTGGGTAAAAGGAAAAAAGAAAAAACCATGAGCTCTAATATAATGTGGAAATTTCTTAATTTTATCATGTTGCATAAAATATTACAAAGGAACTGGTGTACTTGTACACAGAGTCAACAAAATTCCCTTGCTGGATACATAATTCTCCCCTAGAGCTAATTAAACAATTAAGCCTACCATTAAGCCTTGTCAATTACAACTATATGACAACGATATCAAAAGTTCTGCAAGGATGTATGAGAATCACATTGTGCCAATTTATACTTGTTTACGCCTCCCAAAAAAAATTATAATTGTGTTGACTGTTGAGAAGAGAAGATTAAAAAAATCATCAGAAGCATGCTTGAAACCAAACACTTTAGCTGTAGGTGAATCATGAAAACCTCTCTGATGTTGAGGTGCATATTCTAAACAAATGTTTTGAGGTAGATGCAAGACTTTGCTTGTTTGTATGCTGTCAGCTGTTTTGAGGCATATAAAGGAATTTTCTTTTCTGAACTTGTGTCTGGAAGGGATAATGATGGCCCTCCGAAATTTTGACCGAGTTGCTTCTCCTGTACAGTTCACTATTCTAAATAATATCTTTTGGTAGTCACATCTAAATTTTTGTTTTTCAGTTTGGTATTCCATTGAAAATAAAATATTGGCTGTTATCTTGGTAGTTTTTTACTTCCACTTTCACAATTTTGTCATTGTTCATAACCCACC